TAAAAGTGTTAAGACCAAGTGTTTGGGTAGGGGGAGGAGGAAGTCTGAGAAACTAACCAAGTTTTAAATGGAAATTTAGTGGGTTTGGGGTTTGTTTGCTTATTCATTTGTTTTGCAGTTTGTCTTTAGAAGAATCCTCTCTTTACATGTGTTTGATCTGCTGAAAAACAGTAGTAAATGTGTCTTATTCAAAGAAACCATCTTTGAAGGGCAGGAATGAGGATCCAGGTAACATTAGGCCACTCAGCCTTACCTTGGTCCCTAGGCAGGCCATGGAGCAAATCTTTTTACAAGCCATTTCTCAACATGTGCTGGACACAAAGGTAACTGGGAGCACCCAACGAAGGTGAAGTGGGCAAATCCTGTGGGTCACAACAGGTTGCACAGCTGGTGTTGGCAACAGTCAGTTTTTGTGCCCATGGGACCTTCTCTGAGAATTGAGGACTACTTGGAAGAGATGGGATCCACCTGGCCAAGTGGGACAAAAGCATCTTTGCAAACAGGCAGGCCAGCCTGCTGAAGAGAACTTTAAGACAGGAACAACACAGGAGGGAGATGACAACCCACAGTCAAGTGAGGAGGCAGTGGACTGGGTTAGCCAGCGAAGGGTACAGGATGATGTGAACAGAAGGGATCCTGTAACCAACAAAACAGGACTGAAAAGGACCTACTTCAAGTGTATGCACATAAATAAAGAAGTGCCTGTGGGACAGCATTATGTGGAACACTCCCATCTGTTTTCTGGGAAATGAGCGTGACTGGGTGCCTCAAGTGTCTGCACATTAGTGTGTGCTACATAGGGAACAAATAAGAGGAATTAAAGGTCATATGTCATTACAGGGCTACAATGTCACTGAGGTCATGGAGATGTGGTGGGTTAGCTCACATGATAGGAATGCTGCAACAGGCCTGAGAGGAGGAGACAAGGCAAATTGCAGGATTGCAACCCTGGACTTCAGGAGAGTGGACTCCAGCCTATTCAGGGATCTGCTTGGAAGACTACTATGCGATATAGTTAATGAAAAAAGAGTGTACCAGCATATCTGGTTGGTTTTCAAGGAGCCTGTCCTTCAAGCTTGAGAATGGTTCATCCAGCGTACAGAAAGTAAAGCAAAGGTGTTGGGAGGCCTGTAAGGATGAACAAGAAGCTCCTGACTACACTCAGACATAAAAATGAAGCACAGGAGGTGGAAGCAGATCAGGTGACCTGGGAAAAATAATGGAGATGCTGTCTGAGCATGGGAATGGACTAGGAAGGCTAAAGGCTACATGGAGTTGGATCTGACAAAGGACATGAAGGACAACAAGAAGGGCTTCTACAGGAGTATCAGCAACAGGAAGACTAAAGAAAATGTGAGCCTCCTGCTGCATGGGAATGGAGACCTAGAGACAGAAGAAGATGGAAAAGGCCAAGGTATCCCGTGCTTGCATTGCTGTGGTTCTTTAGTAGTAAGACTTGTTTTCAACAGTCCCAAGCTGCTGAGATCAGTGCAGAAGTCTGGAGTAACAAAGGCTTACACTCAGTGAAAGAGGATCAGGCTAGGGAACATTTAAATTAACTGGACATACATAATTTCATGTGACATGATGGTATACACCCACAAGTTTTGGAGGAGTTGGCTTGTGTCACTGTGAGGCCACTCTGGGTTATCTCTGACAAGTCATTGCGATCAAGGAAGATTCCTGAGGACTGCAAGAAAGATGTCATTCCTATCTTCAGGAAAGGCAAGAAAGGATACTGGGGAACTACAGGCCAGTCAGAATCATCTGGATCTCTGAGAAAGTGATGAAACAAATTCTCCTAGAAATTCGGGATTGGTCCCTCAGAGATCAGTATTGGGACTGGTACTATTTAATGTTTTCGTTAGTGACCTCGACGATGGAATGGAGTGCACACAGCAAGTTTGTGGGTGATCCAAAATTGGTGGAAATGGCCAATGTGTTGCAAGGCAGGGCTGCTATTCAGAGAGACTTTGGCAAGCCCAAGAAATGGGCTGACAGGATCTTCATGAATTGGAAAGTCCTGTTTCTAGGATGAAATAACCTCAGGCTGCCACAGTGCGGGCTGGAGGGGAGAGTGCTTGGGAATTAGCTCTGCAGAGAAGGAACTGTGGATCTTGGTGGACAACAGGAGTCAACAGTGTGTTCTTGTAGCCAAGGTGGCCAGCCATCTCCTGGACTGTATTAGTGAGTGTGGCCAGTAGGGCAAGGCAAGTGACCCTCCTCCTCTAGTTGACATGGTGCTCTAGATGTGGTCTCACAAGTGCCAAGTTCTGGGATCCTCAGTACAAGAAAGATGTAAATAAGCTGGAGTGAGTCCATCAAGACAGTCAGAGGGTTGGAGCATGCGATTTATAAAGAATGGCTGAAAGAATTGGGTGTGCCCAGCCTCAAGAGAAGGCAAAGAGGAGACACTTTATTGCTGTCTACAAGTACCTGATCAGAAGCTATAGAGAGGCTGGAGCCAGACTCTGCTTGAAGGTGCACTGAGGTAGTGCAAGAGGTAGTGGACACAAGGTGGAACATGGGAAATTCTGCCTAGATGTAAGGATTTGATTTAGTTTTTAAACCATGGGAGTGGCCAAACGCTGACACAGGTTTCCCAGAAATGTTGTGGAATCTCTATACTTGGATGTATTCAAGACTCGACATGTTCCTGAGCAAGCTGATCTGATTAGACCTGCTTAGAGCAGTACATGGGACTGGTTGGTTTCTGGAGGTCACTTAAAATTTTTTTTTAATATAATTCTACAATTTACTAGGGTTGTGATTTCCATTTTTATATATAAATGTGACCTGGGGACATAGAAATGTATTTGACTTCATTTCAATTGTTGATTTACTTTAACAGGTAGACCTCTTCCTTGAAAACATTTTATTTTTAAACAGACCCCTTGAGCGCTCCATAAGATGCTACTTTATTTCCCTCCCTAAATGTACTGCATTTTTGTTATCTGGCCTCACTATTATGTTCAGTCTGAGGACAAATTCTGTAAAGAATTTTCTTGAAGAGAGACTTGACATGATGATCTTTAACCTTCTAGATTTGGAGACTTTTATGTGGGAGAACAATATGTCTTGATTTGAAAGACACATTCTGCAGCAGTCTACTCATTTACAACTTTAGAATATTTGAAAGAAGATATGGCAGCAGAAAATTTTCGGTAAGTTCCAGTTATGTATTTTTAACAGAAACTGTTTTCTACACTGTTTAGAATCTTGTAGTCTTGGATTAATATTGCAGTGTTTTTACTAACATTTTGTATAGAAACATATGTTAAAGAATTTTAAAGGTAATTTGGTTTCCATAAATATAAATTTATATTGATAATATCTTGCAGTCAGTGGATTATTCTAATTAAAGTTTGCAGCTGAAAGTTATCAGACCCATAGAATTTAATTTTGGTAACAAGTCTAACACTTCATTCTTCAGTATCTAGACATTTAGATCTGGAATTATGTTGTGCCAGTGACATAACATTGTTTAATTGAACTAGTATAGTGGTTGCCTTGTTTTTTCTTTTATTTAGAGATACATTGAAAACTTACTTTTGAACTGTTCAATTAATGAAAATTAAACTTTTTATTTCCAGTCCTTTTTACTGGGTGCTTGGATGCTCTCAGCTTTGTTTGATCTTCTCCTTGTAGAAATCACTGAGTATGTATTTGGCATCACTATCAACAGCTTGCCTTCTGGTTTGTAAGTAGCTCCTAATGGATTGCTTATTTTAGATACAGTTTCAAGGGATTATTTTGTACAGATTTTAATTTAAAAAAATACTTTCTTCATGTAACCCTTCATATTAAATTTAATCCTCTTCTGAAATACAGTTAAAGGTTCTTGGCACAACTATTATATTTTCAAGCATTAACTTCGTAGTTGAGATCTGTGCTTAATTTATATTTTATCCATATAATGATTATGTTCTATTCTGTTACTTCCATTTCCACTGTCAGCATGACTGAAACACAACTTGCAGTGTACAAACAATTGCTGTATTTGGTTTTGTTCAAACCAGTAAATCTGAGAACTGAAATCAGGCTGGTGCTGATTTCTTTCTTAAATCACAAAGACAGCACAACTGTAATTCTCATCTTTATGTTCACTTTTAAAGGCATATGCAGTTATAAGCAATTCATGCTGGTATTTCATATGTTTGTGTTTCAAAAACTGAGTGCTAGAGTATGTTATTCCATTTAGGGCTTGCACCTGAAGTTCTTAAAACTTTAAGGAATTTTGTGGTTCAGTTTTACATAGCCTGTATTTTTGATTTCAGCACTTAAGAGATGTATGTTACAGTAGAGCCACAGAGCTTGCAGAGCCTTTGTGGTTAAGCTTCTGACAAGTGAGATCAGCCTCAGACAGACTTGAGTTTCCATGTGTCACACACTCTGAGGTAATAAGAAAAGCTCTTGGAGTGAGATTTTTATTATTAAATACTATACTAGGCTTTTTTTTTATTTCTACTGTTTTACTGTGTCTCTTGAAAGTAGCTGAAGGCTGATTTAATAAGGAAGAAAAAGCATGTGTTTGACGTTATAAAGATACATTTTTTTGTAGCGTGTGAGTATTCAAAAGGAGTTGAAAGTTTGAATAGTAGCAGTTACTCATATTTGCTACCTTGAAGTTTTTTGCTGGGACATAGGCTGCTACTGTGTCTGGACAAATGCAGTATTTTCATCTGTGTAAAAAGATACTTTGTGCAGGAGTAGGGTATAATAAATGTACACATCGTACCCACAGGGAACTAATGAACTATTATTATACCTTTTGATGGTCTTTTTATCTGTGTCTGCAGAATGTTGTCAGTTACAAAGAAAGCTACATCAAAGAAATTTTTACTTGAATGAAAAAGGTTGCCTACATATGCTTTCTCTTTAAGTCATGCTAACATTGATCTTGAGAGAATGAAGCTAATTTTAGAAGTGTGGGATATACAGTAGTTCCAGGAGCATTTGATTGTGCAAATATAAAAAAAAAACTATACATCGCATAAGAATTCTTCAGTGTTGTCTGTTTTATTATACTAATAGTCACTTTTTCATATCTGACAACATTCACAGTCTTTTGAGGTGACAAAAGCAATGGAAAGTTTAACACTGGTACTAGGTTTTAGTCCATTTCAGATTTACAAAAACTTTTGAGCAAATATAAACAAGTGCAATTATTACTCTGCTTCTCTCATATTTACAGTTCAACAAATCTGTCTGTTACCTCTGGCTATAGAATACTCTTCAGTGTAGTCAGAAGGCTAGAATTTGGGAAAATGATCACTTGTTTACATTATAAAAGTCCCCTGACTTTTTTTTTTTTTCTCTTTTTATACCATTTCATTGTTCATGTTACTGAGTGATCTTACACTTTCAGTTCGAAAACTTTTCCTGCGCACACTTCGAAGGTAATTACGATAAAGGATTACACTGATGACTCTTGCCTGAAATTGTTTAGAAACAATATAATATAGTATAACATCCAAGCACGTACTGAGATTCATGAGAAAGGTGGTAAAGGCTGCCCAGGGATTGTAAGTTGTATCTTCATTTTGCAACATCAGGAAGGCGAAGCAAATGTGAAAGGGTACAAAGCAGATAAGTACTTGAGCAATCAGAGTAACTATAATTCTTATGGATCTCTCCTTGGCCTTAGGCTTCAGTTTGGAAGTCTTGCCATGGATAAAATTGTAAATAATGACTAGATAACACCCCATCATGATAAACAAGGGAATCAAAAAGAAAAAAATCAAGCGAGAAAAGTTCAGTGTATTTACTTCCTTTAAATGGATGATATCAAGCATTTTGATGCAGGTAGTAAAATTCAGGGCTTTGTCTGGATCAGACTGTAAAAACAGCAGTGGGGACGTTGTTGCGAGGGTCATTACCCAGATTCCAGTGCAAGCCAGCACAGCTTTTTTTGTATTTTTAAGCTCTTTGACATGTTTGGGCTGGACAATAGCCATAAATCTGTCTACACTTATAAAAGTGAGCAACCACAGAGCAATGGCTGGATAAAATATAGTGAAAGCGCTGATAATCCGACAGAATGTGTCTCCGAAAGGCCACATTTCTTTCCCGTAGTAGATTATCCGAAAAGGCAAGGAAAATATAAAAATTATGTCCAGTAATGCCACATTCATCATGTATACAGTTATAGTTGTTCTCTTCTTGGTAGTGCAGCTGAAAACCCATAGTGCAGTAGCATTTACCAACAATCCCACTGTGAATACAAAACTGTAGAAGACCAGTGATGCGATCCTGTATTCTTCAGGGTGGTTTTTATTTCCAGACATCATAGTTTAATTGAATTTAGGAATAGTTGTTGCACTCCATTAATACCCTAAAAATAAATAAAATGTGAAAAGTTCTTCTCAGTCAAATAAAAACTTCCTTTAAAAACAAACAAGAAGGTGGTTGTAAGATGGAGTTTAGTGATGAGATTGTATTGTTTAGCTGTGAAAATGTCCTAGCTTTGTTGCTTTCTCTGACGACAAATACATTATTGTGCTCTGAAAGAAATATGTGTACTGCTAGAGTTGTGAGAAATAGTATTTATAAGCTGGTTTTAATTACATGCTTTTAATTACTTAAGAGATTTCTTATATAAGGAATCAAAAAGTCAAGATTGACCAGCTGCTTTGAGTGTGCTCCAGTAGCTGATAATTAGATTGAAACAGCTGTAATTGAGGTAAGAGAGCTATTTTCTAAAGAAAATATTTCTTCAAGTTGCTCCTGTTGAAAAACTAATGACTGAAGCAAATTATGAAAAGAAGTAAGTGAGCATGGCATGTAGTGACATTTGGATATGCAAAATGAAGTATTGATTTTGTGTTTTATCTCTGTAGGAACAACTGAGTGCCCCAAACAATAGCTGCATGCTGTTGTCATAAAAGACTCTAAAAAACTATCTTAATAGCTATGTAACATCTAATACAGTATTTAATCCCAGGGCATTAGAAACAACCACTTGACATATGAATGAGGTGAATAGATTGATAGACTTCCTATTTAAAAAAGTAAAAAGATGGGAAGCAGCGCAGTGTCCAACCAGGCGCTGTGTGAACAGTATTTGTTGGCGGGGGAAAGTTGCTGGCTGGTAGCCAGCTGCTCCAGAGCGCAGTTGTGTTGCTCCTCTCAGTTTCTTGGTCATAGGAGTTGGTCATTTGACACGTCATTATGTAGGCTCAGATGATGAGAGCATGAAAGAGTTTGTCCCCCGGTTTACTTGGGAGCCACTTGTGGGTGGCAGACCTTACCTGGTGCTCGCGTGGGCGCGTTGGTTGTCCCACACCCCACCTGCTTTCCTGGCTCTTGCTGTGGTCACAGTTTCATGACTTTGCATGGGAAGGTTCCTCTTGTTTGGCCTTTTACCCAGCTCTGGGGCAGCTTTGTGAAGAGGAGGAAGAGGAAGGAGTTAGTTGTTTGTGTGATCTTCCCACTTGTGACAGAGAGCCACCTAACTTCCACAGTATCAGTTAGGCACCAAAACTATCCTCAAGAGCGCAAGAGTGCACAGCTCCTGTGTGTTTATCTCCAAAAGTGGACAATGCATTAAAAAAAGGCTTATTGTTACTGCTCATCTGGTTTGTGCTTTCACTGTAATGTTACCAGGTGCTTTTTTCAGTGGTATAGGAATACACAGGGAGTTGAACCAGTGTTTATTAATGTAGCATCCTTGTTCGACACTGATAAATATCAGCTGGTTTTGAGAAGAGTATCCATGGGGCAACTATCTTAGGTATGACCTATTAAATCTTTCTTCAAGTTGGTTTCTGCCTTGAAATATGAAGTTTGGACTTCTGATTTTCTTACAATTCCCCACTTTACAGCTATTAAAAAAAAAACAAACAAACAAACAAACAAAAAAAACCAAACAAAAAAAAAAAAACCCAAAACAAACAAACAAACAAAACCAACAACAACAAAAAAACAAACAAACAAAAAAAAAAACAAAAAAAACAAACAACCCACCAAAACTGCATACAGGTATCTAGCTCTAAACTTCTGTCACAAAGAATTTTTTTTTTCAGCTGTACAAAACAAAAAGGTGTGTTTTCTGATCAGATGAGGTCATTAGAACATGTAACAGAATTTGTTTTGTGTGGGAAAAGCTATGTGTATAATACTGACAAAAAACAGGTTTGGAGGGCATCTGTAAGAATGCCTCTGAAATACCTCATTGTGTGAAGAACACTAAAAATAAAAACTGTAAATAGTGATAGCAGACCTTATTGAAAGATAGATAATATATGCTTGAAAGAAAATTTTTGTAGCATGTGCTTGTAGCACAGTTGAAATATTATCTGGCATACTGCCCCACTTTCATTACTTATGCATAAAATTGTCCAAATACTGATTAACACACACACACACCCCCGCACACTCCCACAGGTTTTAAGTGTCTTTTTTCTCTTTTGTTCTATTTTTTCTTCTCTTGCTACTGATTGTGTATGACACAGCACATGACTACTTATCTCAAGATCCTGACTGATTTAGCAGGTGAATTTAGTAGTAATGTATAGGGTAGGTAGAAGAATTCACTTTTTATAGATTAATGTTAATAAACAGCATGAGGTTTGGTTTTGGTTTTGATCTTCTCTCCTTTTGACTTGCAGTGACTGTAATAGTTTCTGGTCAAGTCCTGTTTCCGAAATAACCAGTAGGCTGATGTTGATGGGAAGAGAGGAAGCTGAATCTGGGGTGAGCTTCTATCAGGAAAACCTGTGGTTCCATGCCTTGTTTGCTGGTTATTTCAAGTTTGTGCTAGTTTTGAGATGTATCAAAGAATGGACTTACTATAACAAGAAGTTTTGGGTTTTTTTTTGTTGTTGTTGAAGACATTGTTTCCAAACTTTGGGTGTTTAAATGCACATCAGCGTTATAATTAGGTATTTGTCCTAAATTTAATTTTTAAGAATCTAAAATTTAACATTTTTGTAGGTAAAAAATAATGAGATTTTTTTAAAAAGTGTTTAGTTACCTATCTGCATTTATACATGAATGCAGATGTTCTACTTTTTCCATCAGTACTTGTCTGCGTGAGTTCAGGTTAATATCTCCCAGGTCAGCCCAAGTAGATCTTTGGGTGCCTCTGAGTGGATGGTTTTGCCCTAGTTGCCGTTTCTCATAATGGGAACACTTACTCATATTGATTAAAACGCTTGCTGAAGAGCCCCTGGAGTCACTGATTTGTGGCTGTCTGCTTGTGTTAACTCTGAATGATTACTCTGATGGTGGTCTGTATGTTTTATCAATCTGCTTTAATTTTGTAATGATAGCTGAGGTCCTGAATGGCTAATGTTGAACTGTGAAGTCTATCTAGGTGCTGTGTACAAGAACAAAGACTTTCAGAACAAAACAAGAATTAAATATTTTCCCCAGATTCATACTATGTGTTAGGAAACAATTACTTAATTTAAAGGATTATGCATATATGTCTCTTCCCAGTCCCCTTTTTTTTTCCTTTGGCTGTCCCTTACCTTTGCTCACATTTCCCTGAGGAGGACATGTCTTTCAGCGAAGCACAGAGAGACCAAGCAACAAGATCTTCTCCTGGTTTTAGTTTAATGAAAGCAAACATTTTTCCTTTAGTGAAAACTTACCAATGCTTTTAGTTATTGCATATTTTAAAATTTATTATTAAAATCATAAACAGCAGTACTTATGGCACTATGCTTTTCCAAATGCGGTAATTTTGCTTTAAATATTATTTATAGAATGCTACTGATACTTTGAAAGTGCATTAAAGAATTAAATATCTTTTCATTAGTTCTAGAATTAATGCCCACGTTCAGCTTCTGAAGGAAGAAGTCTTAGGAGCATACATAAACATCCATGTTACTTGGTTAGCACAGCATAATGGTTTATTACTCACCTTTTGTGCACTACAAAGTTACTTCAGAGATGCTTCTTAGCCCCAAATCTGTAGAAGGTTTAGACTTCCTCTTCTCTGCTCAGCTTCACTTAGCTAAAATAGCTCCTCTTCACAGGCAGGAAGCAGTGACGTACTCTGCCTAGTTCTGAGATCTTTTATTGGTCATGCTTAAAAGGTAGTATTTCGCATACATACGTGTGGTGTGTGTGAACTGACATGTCTAGTACCTTTTAACAGGCAAGCTTTTATAATGTTTCCAGTGTGGTCAACCTGCACTGTTGTACTATGTATCTTTTTAAAATACATTTTTTTAATGTTTGTGGTATAATGAAAGCATATTTTTGGTTAATGTTTACATGCAAAGATATCTGCAAGAATATGCATCGTGGTTATGCAGAAGTTTCTAATAAGCACAATGTAAATGTGTTTTCTGTAGAGCATAGTCTGTTCTTTGTGGAAATCCCCATTTTATTTATATTGCCTTGGATAGTAGTCAGTCTGAAAGTGACAGAAACTTGCTACATTTGAAATGAGAAGTTTGATTCACTTGAATACACAGCTTCGTTTATGCCTGTACTTACCATATTTTACTAACACAATAGCAATGTTTCTATATTTTATTTGCTGTCTAAAATAATACCATGCCTACTGAAAAGCTTTGCAGAAAAATGCTGTACGAGGGAAGCCTTTAGCCTTTGTTAAAATGGAGTAAAATCTCTGCACTGTGTCACTACAGCAGACATCTTTGGTGGTATGATACTGTTCACAAAGGCTAATAAGTAAAGAAGACTAAGATCCTATGTTTGTTGTTTTTTTTTTTTTTTTCTTAGTGCAAAAAAAAAGATCTGACCTTTTGAAAGAGCCATTCATAGAAGGAGATCATTCCAAATTCTCTGTAGAGTGCTCGCTAGCTCCAGGTCTCTGACCGACAGTCTCTGGGATGTTGAAGCACACTACAGAGAGTTTAGTACATCTTGCGGCCTCCTTTTTTTTTTTTTCCTCAGCAAACGAAGCAGAGAAACCTAAGTTGAGGAAAGGAACATCAAGTGAATCAGTCTCTTCCTGGCATGCAGTCAAGAATTTGCCAGGATGGGTGCCAGAAGCAACAAAGTCCTGCAGTTCAGGTGTGGCCATAATCAGGTTTGTTTGTGAGGATATCTTTCTTTACTGTCTGTAAAAGTAATGTAGGTAGGTGGTCCTCACTCAGTGCTAAAGATAACTTCTGTGAAAAATACCCTCTCTACTGGAGTCATGTTTTATCTCCAGTGAATGTGTTTGCGGTAGTGGGTAGATATTTGCATAGGTTAAGTGTAATGGGTGAAGTAATCACAGGGAGGGACTTGGGTGTGGTTTTCAGTGTGTAGATTAATAATATCTTTAAATATGAGATGTTAGGAAGAAATTCTTCACTATGAGGGTGGTGGGACACTGGCACAGGTTGCCCAGAGCAGCTGTGGCTGCCCCCTCCCTGGAAGGGTTCCAGGCCAGGGTTGGACGGGGCTGGGAGCACCCTGGGCTGGGGGAAGGGGGCCCTGCCCGGGGCAGGGGGGTTGGAACTGGATGGTCTTCAAGGTCCCTTCTAACTCCAACCATTCTATGATTCTATGAGATATTTGGTCTTTCCTGTTCAGGTGAACTAATACCAAGCTTAATTTTTCTGATTATTCTAAAGACCTCTTAAGTGCAATGAGCTGCAAATCCTACCTAGACCATCCTTTAGAAATATAAATCAGTGAAAAAATGGTTAATATTTTAGGATTAAGGAGTACCTTAAAAGGACTAACCAGTGTTGAAAACTTCAGTGGCTTTATCATTAGCAAAACAACTCTGGAGCCTGCTTCAGCAGGATGAGTCACTCATACTGTTTTCAAGTTCAGTGAAAGCTCATTGAGATTCAGTGACATAGGTATTTTTAGAAGGTTCAAAAAAAGTGTGTGGCTCCTAGAAAAGAATAACTGTGCTTTTGGACTCTCCTAGGAAAGAATGCTTTATTTTGGGAAAATTAATGTACAGAAGTCCAGAGGTCCCTTCCCACCTGAACTGTGCTGTGAATGTACCATAACGAGCAAGTGGATGGAGAGTGCCCCCCTTAGCTAAAGAGGGAGTGCTAAAGTCATGCTGGATTTGGATGGAAACAAGTCATATGTTAAGGCTGGGATCAGAAAAGCTGTATGCTGCGAACTGCCTCTTGGCTTGCTGTCTCCTCTGGGGAGGGTCAGAAGGGTGAGGTTTTATAGCTATGTCTCATTTTATCTGTTGAGCCCTAGAGGGGAGGTCATGACTTGCAAGGACAGCTTGAATCAAGGCCCACTTTTCACTGAGCAGTTTACAGAGGTGGGTAACAGGAGCCCAGCTGAGTTTACTGGCAGGTTAACCATCTGTCTGGTTTGCCATAGCATATACACATCAGTCTGTCTATGTTCTGCTTTCACTTGGGCTTTTCAGAGTCTGCCTGGTGGAGAAGAGGCAGACAAACTGCTCCGCTGCTGGCAGGCTGGAAGGCCTTCCCCTGAGCATAGGGGCAGCTCTGTCTGGCAGTGGTGTGCTGGAAAGAGGTGTTTGTTACCAGTAAGCCTGTACTCATTCTTGCCTAGGTGCTCAGGCTGGCTGCAGCTGCAGGGTGATAAACATTTGGATGTGAACACTCAACTGAAAAGTTGCATTAATTGTGGTTTGCAAGAGGCAGTGGGCTGCTCCGCTGTGCCGCATTCCTCTGGTGCTTCAGTTTCTGTTGAAGGAAGCACCTGACTCTATTTTTGTTTTCTTCTCCTTCTATACTGTTTTATCAGTTAGAGAAGAGTGTCTTGCGTTGGTTTCCCTCAGACGGGTGAGTACTTCCACCGCTCCAACTTTTACTGAAATAAATGCTCGGTTCCCTCCAGGGTCTTTTTTTTTGCTATTCTGAAGTTCAGGGAGTAAAGATAATTTTAGATGTGTTATGTAGGGTTGAAGCTGTTATTGAGTAGTTAAAAGCTAAACCACTGTACCTCATGTCTGAGGATAAGGCAGAGTTCATGTGGTCTATTAGCATGCAATCACTAACTGGCAGTAGGCCTCAGAAGAAATGAGCTTAATCACTTGCAACAGTGTGAAAGTGCAGCACTGAAGGGATTGTCTGCATGCTGTTGCTTTTGCAGGACTAATGTACTGCTGGGTCTTTCTCTTTCAGTGGTTTAGTCATAGTACAGAAAAGTATGTTTTGCCTGTCCACTTACCATATAATGTAAACTTTGTCCAGCTGATCCAGAGAAGTTCTGCCCACGGAGGGGCAGAAGGATCACCTTCCACTTCAGTTTGGTAAGGAGCAGGCTTGAGCTTGTGTTCTTCTCCTTCCAAACTTTCCATCTTTTGGACCTATTGAAAAGAAAGAACTGAAGCTTCTTGCACAGTCCAGTGCACCAGTGGTACAGGAAACAACCCTCCCACGTGTCTGTTAACCTACCAACTAGCTGTTGTGGGTGAGTTCACATGCAGTTTTGGGTTACTGTTCTTAACCTTGATGAAATTCTGCTTCATTTTTTATTCCTGTATTGCGTTGTAGCGTAGTGAAGGTTTAAGAATAGGCTTCTGGTTAAAAGTTGTCATGACAGTGAATGCATAAACTTATTGCAATTCTTTACAGTTTTGCTGTATGTGTGTTAGAGGCTGCATCATGGCATAGCTGTCCCTCCTCTCCCACTCAACCTGTGAGTGAGTTTAAATGCTGTGTGCAGCAGGGCTGAAGGAATGGGAAATGGATCAGCTTAAGAGGACTGCAGCCTAGTTAGCTGTACCTGACATGTCCTAATTACTGTCACATTTTGCTTCCTCTTCTGTGTTTT